CGGCACCGAGCACATGCTCAGCCCGGCACAGACAGCGGCTCAGCGCGGCTCACCCCGCACACTGGCGGCACCTCTCTTCTCTCCGCCGGTCCTGTATTCATTTATCACCACTTGACTTTTTTCTTTCTCCCCCCATGGGGTCTTTTATTAGATGCCGATTTTATGTGGTAAAATATATTTATATAAAATTTCAAGTCAAGTGTGTCTTGTTTATTAGAGTTTCCTGTGGCAAAAATAGGTCAAAGCTATAAAACTGAGCATTTTTTTTATGATTTCCCAGAGAGAGTTAAGGGCTGACCTGCTTGTTCTGTAGCCCCGCACTGTACACATGCAAATGTAACTGCTCCCCCGAGAGCAAATATCTCAATCATAAACCAGCAAATAAAAGGGAAAGTTCCTTCATTTATGTGATAGATGGATGGGAGAGGTTCCTTCCTCGGCTTTCCTGGTAAGCAGAGTGTAATCAGGATTTATTGATGGACCCATCATTCATTATTATATAATAGACAAGAATTTATTACAGATAGAAGTACACTGGATACATTGTAGAGTGTTCACATAGCTGAGCTGAGAGAGGATATAAATTATACAAGCAGAAATAGTAAAAGGAGGAATCAACCAGAAACTTCAAACTATCCAAACAGCTGAACAGCAATTAGGACTGGATGTAGGAAATTGCCATGTTATTAGCAACAACAGACAAAGCACAGCAAATAATAAGATGAAAATAAACAGTGCAAACAACTATGGTAATAATAATACTGAAACAAAACCAGAAAAAATAAAATAATAATAAAAACAATATACTGCTAATATTAATAGTGGCAATGGCAATATTAAAAGTAATAATAGTATAATTGCTACAGCAACAACAACAATAAATAATAATAATAATAATAATATGGCATTTTTTTTTCTTATTTTGTATCAGATATATTATCATTACATTTTGTTATAATTAGTATTTACAGTACTATTATTACTATTAATTATTATTATTATTATTAATAATAATAATAATAATAATAATAATAATATGTTTTTTTCTGATTTTGAATCGGGTATATTATCTGATTATATTAATTTCATTATTATTAATAATAATAATGCAATGATAATATACCTGATACAAAATCAGAAAAGTATTATTATTATTAATAATAATACTAATAATAATAGTAATATAAATACTAATCATAACAAAATGCAATGATAACATATCTGATACAAAATAATAATAATAATAATTATAATAAAAAGAAGAAGAGTAAAATAATGATGATGATGATGATGATGCAACGATAATATACCTGATACAGAATAAAGAAAAGAATGTCATAATACTATAAATAAGAATAAGGATAATAATGATAATAATGTAATGATACCATGCCTGATACAAAATCAGACAAAAATATATAATATTATTATTATGAATAATATTAGTAATAATAATAATAATGTAACAGTAACATACTTGATACAAAAACAGAAAAATGCCACATTATTTTTATGAATAATAACAATAATGTCCTCTTCTTCTTCTTCTTCTTCTTCTTCTTCTTCTTCTTCTTCTTCTTCTTCTCCTCATTATTATTATTATTATCAACAACAGCAACAACAACAATAAAGTAATAATCATATACCTGATACAAAAAAATTAAAAATATCTTAATATTATTAATATTGCTAACAATAATGGTAAAACTAATATCAATGAAATGTTACAATTAGGGATAAAAATAGCAATAGCACTGATACAAAACAAAACATTATAATAATAGTATTAAAAATGCTGATAATATTACATATACTACTAACAACATTACTAATAACAGCAATGATAATAATATGGTCAAAATATAATAATATAATATTAATGTTTATAACAATAAAAAAAATATGAAAATCGAATGCTATTGATACTGTTTTGAACAGAAACAATATAATAATAATAATAATAATATTACATAAACATATGAAACTATTAGTATTAAAACCAGGTCGGGTATTATTATTATTATTATCATCATCATCATCACTGTAGAGATAGACTGTAGTGAATTTAGGATGGCATTGCCCCGATCGGCACCCCATTACATATTTCTATGATTGCACATGGCCATCCAGAGATTGGGGTGGAAGGAGTGCTCAGATCTTTGCCCAGAGAAGATTTCTCCCAGATCTGCACATTTGTGGACTAATCTGTCAGATTTAGCACAGTCCTGTCCCCATCTCTCCTCATCGGGGAGACTTGCTGGGGGGCAGACATCCTAGGTGTGCCCCCCCATGCAGTGACACCCTCCTGCAGCTCTTTGTGTCCTGGAAATGATTTCCATTGAGCGCTGACATTGGCAGCCAAGCTTCGTTTAACCCGCTGCTCGCCGGAGGGCAGCGCAGGTTGTGCTCCGCTCATTCATCTCAGCTGTCGTCCTGCAGCCCCGGCCGGCCACATTCTTTCAGGATGAATGCTGCGCTCCCAGTGTACTGGATCTCCCATAGGCTGCGGGATGGTGAAGAAGCTGAGTGCCATTATTCCGTTCAGGAGAGAAGTAGAATGAGTATATTTGTATACTGTGGGCTGTAAACATTTTACTAGAAGAGCCCCCCTCCCCTCCCCCTCCTCTGGGATTGGTATGTGTTGTGTGCTTTTATCAGGATCCAGCAGCTCTGTGTCCACATTGAGCCCCATTATGTGTGCTCTGCCATGGAGGATTAGGCTCACCTGTGTTGACTCTGCTAAGTGGCCATAAAAGGTGAAAATGCAGCTTAACTCCTCTATTGACTTGAAGTGAACCTGTGCTTGGTGTGTGAAGGGCAAAGCTACAGGCTAAAGTGTAACCCCCCACCTCCCGCCTGGTTATTTTTATGCTGTCTGTGTGCCATTGGGGAAATTTCCTTTCACTGCCCATTCCAGCAACGCAATGAAAAGTTAGGGGAAATCCCCCCAAAGTGAGCAGAATTCCCCTCTTAGGGCCCATTCAAAGCATATGCATTGGACTGCATGAGGCAGCCTTGTCAAACGCATTTCCAATGCATAGACAAGGCAATTTGCCTTACGTCTTATTATTATTGCTGTTTATATAGCACCAACAGTGTGCCCAACTCTTTATAAAATAAAGGGAGACAGTACAGTTGTAATACAATTCAATGCAGGAGGGTGAGGAGTGCCCTGAATGTAAGAACTTACAGTCTAAAGCAGTGCTGCTCAACTTTTTTGACATAAGGCCCCCAAGGTCACCTAAAGCCGGCCATAGATGGATCGAATCTCAGCTGTTCAGTAGGGACTGGTTGAGATTTGATCCATCTATGGGCAGGCTAGTTGTACCTAAGTCAATATATTGCTCAGCTTGGGCACAATCAGTCCGATTAATTTTTTGTAAACAATTACTGCTGGTGGCTACAGGCACTAACAGTCATTGTGTCCTGCCAGCTGTGATGGCTCCCCACTGGTAGAACACAAAAGCACTGCAGGAAGGATTCCCCCATCAACACTGTGTTGATCGGTGAATCGAGCCATTTAACTTTCTTTCACTCGTAATGGAAGAAAAGAAAGCCACATAATCTATGGGCTGCTTAAGGGTTGCACATAAAATTCAGGGAATATTCATTATCACAGGCAGCAGACACAAGACGATATAGTCAAAGACTATAGACATGATACAAGAGATAGTTAGAGACTGTGGACATAATACATGAGATGGTTAGAGACTGCAGGCATGATACAGGAGATGGTCAGAGACTGTGGACTTAATACAGTAAATTGTCAGAGATTGTGGATTTAATACAGGAGATTGTCAGAGACTGCAGACATGATACAGGGGCTGGCCAGAGACTGTGGACTTAATACAGGAGATGGTCAGAGACTGCCGTTATGATACATTAGCTGGCCCGAGACTGTGGACTTAATACAGGAGATGGTCAGAGACTGCAGACATGATACAGGAGCTGACCAGAGACTGTGGACTTAATACAGAAGATGGTCAGAGACTGCAGACATGTAAAGGAGCTGACCAGAGACTGTGGACTTAATACAGGAGATTGTCAGAGACTGCAGACATGATAAAGGAGCTGACCAGAGACTGTGGACTTAATACCGGAGCTGGCCAGAGACTGTGGACTTAATACAGGAGATGGTCAGAGACTGCAGACATGATACAGGAGCTGGACAGAGACTGTAGATTTAATACAGGAGATTGTCAGAGACTGCAGACATGATACAGGAGCTGGACAGAGACTGGGGACTTAATACAGGAGATGGTCATAGACTGCAGACATGATACGAGGGATGGCCAGAGACTGTGGACTTAATACAGGAGATGGTCAGAGAGTGCAGACATGATACAGGAGCTGGCCAGAGACTGTGGATTTAATACAGGAGATTGTCAGAGACTGCAGACATGATACAGGAGCTGGACGGAGACGGGGGACTTAATACAGGAGTTGGTCAGAGACTGCAGACATGATACGAGGGATGGCCAGAGACTGTGAACATGCTATAGGAGTTGTTAGAGACTGGTGACATGCTTCAGGAGACATCCAAAGACTGGAGACATGTTACATGAGGCTGCTAGAAATCACTACTATAACAGGGCAAAAAGGAAACAGATTAGGGGCCATGAGGACCGCAGAAAAAGTGCCAAAGGGCTACATGGGGCCCCTGGACCACAGGTTGGGCACCAATGATCTAAAAGGAAGAAGTAAGTGATACAAAAGGTAATAATTGTATGGGGATGTGCTGTTAGGTCAGTTCATACCACAAGTAGGACATGCTGCCTTTTTACACAGTGCAATGTTTTTTGTTATATTTCAATTAAATTAACAAAGGGGGATAAAGGTAGCCAGTGTGAAACATTCTAACACCCCTTTAGCCTTGGTTCACACTAGGGCCATTTTGCTGGCCATGGCATGGCAGCCTATTCATTTGAATGGGCTACTGTGCGGCACAAAATGCAGGGAAAAGGTCCCTGCACCTAAACAGAAATCTCAGCCCTCACAGAGAACTGCACTACAGTGCGGTTCCCAGTACAGATGTAATTTCCAGTGCAGGCGGCATGCCATTAATATTAATGGCACCTGCCCATGGGTCCCCCATTTTGTGTGTGGATGGTTGCTGCTAGGGGCGGACTGACAACTCATGGGGCCCCGGGCAATAGGGGATCATGGGGCCCCTGTGTCCTTGCCCAAACTAAAAAAAGCCTATGAAAAAGGTACCAGGGGCATCTCATCTGGCCCCCTACTGACCCTGGGCCCTCGGCGGTGCCTGAGTTTCCAAAAGGTCAGTCCGCCCCTGGTTGCTGCTGTGGGACAAATTGTAGGTCCCGCAGCAGCTCCCACCCGCACCAGTGTGAACCAACACTAAAAGCACACACTAGTGGCCATGGGTTATACAGAGTACAACCAAAGGAAACACATGGCAATGGCATAGACAGAGCATGTTCACAGATCTTTGAAAGTTGCTCAAGTCCATTTTATGTGCCTTCTTTCATGCATTATGAGGAACACAGAAGTCTATGGTAATGAATAAAAAAAACATGCATGATACATTCTGCATACATTTCCAGACCCTGGTAGCAAGCGTAAATAGTTTTTTTTATTTGCCAACATGAAATATGCATTAAAAATGCATGACAAATGTGCCACACATTTCAAAAACACACATCAATGCACAAAGAGGTGTTAAAACTGCACTAAAAACAGAAATGCAAAGGTGCGAACCTAGCCTTTGCTTAGGCATTCACTTCAAGGTTGCCAACCCCCATTACTTTTTTTTACTGACAAAACTGATGGAGCACTTTCAGGACAGACCAGATCGATTGATTCTGATTGGCCAGAACCATCACAATGAATTGATTTGGTCTGCTTTAGACATGCTGCACAGAGAAGAGCAGGGATTTCAAATCCACTGACCACTGGAGCAGCTGTGAGGGTGCTGACAGCTTGGTAACCCCCGGAGGTAAGTACAGTGGGCTGGGGGGGAGAAAGGGTGTCCGGTGTTAGTTCACCTTTTTTGAAAGTGGAGGGGGGTTGGGTACACTCCCTCCTCATTCTTGCAGTTCTGGAGCTGTCAAAACTTTGTGGAGCTGTCAGTGTACTGAAGATCTGTTGGCTTTGGCTGTCCAGTCTGTATATTGATGGACAGCTTCTCCCATCCACAGACTATAACAGATAGGAGAATATGGCCTTTTTTTACAAACTGTTCATACGAAAAGGATAGTTTGCAACTTAGATAAAATGTAATTTAAAGAATATGTCCAGCCAAGACCATTTTTAAAGGTTTCCATAGAGTGTTGTTTATTGCTATCAGGGGCTTGCTTAGAGGGTCAAAGATAGCAATAAAGATCAGACAAGGGTTCTGTCTTTCCTCTTATTTCTGTCTGTTGATGTTGGAGATTTTCCTTAAATTCCTGTCTGGTAAAATAGATGTCACCAAGACACAAAGTAAGGAGAAACTTGACAGGGGTCCTATTCCTTCACCACTCTGTGTGTCTCTGCAATGGGGTCCCCGACCCCCTATACTAACCATACCATTGATCCTTCCACAGACAGCACTGAAACAACTGGTGTCAGTGACTCATTCAGTGATGTCACTTCCAAAGTGTAGCTCATACTTAGTGATTGGCTGCTAGACTGAAGTACTGTCACAGAGGAGGAGGTCACATGCTCCTGCATACCAGTTGGTAGCTCCAGTGATTGTGGACAGCTGTGAATGAGGAGCATTGAGAGAGTGCTGGTTAGGTGTATATAAAGGGGTAAATGGGCCCTTTGCAGAAACACTTTCAATTTGCCTTGCATAGACGAGGTTAGAGTGTCTCTTTAACACATGTTACAGTGTGTGCTGGGAGGCAAGTATGTTTGTTTTGGCCATGCATGTGCGTTGGAGTGCCATTAAAATGAATGGCAAAGCAGTGAAATGTACTTGCACAGAGTGTAGTCGTAATGTACAATTTGCTAATTAAAATCTTTTAGATTGTAAGCTCCAAGGAGCAGGGCCCTCCTAACCAGGGGTGGACTGACAACTCATGGGGCCCCCAGCAATAGGGGATCATGGGGCCCCTGTGTCCATGCCCACACTCAAAACACACCCAAAAAAGCCTATAAAAGGTACCAGGGGCATTTCATGGGGCCTCCTACTGACCCAAGTGCCTGAATGGTCAGTCTGCCCTTGCTCCTAACCCTCTTGTATTGAACTGTATTGTTGCTGTACTGTCTCCCATTATATTGTAAAGCGCTGAGCAAACTGTTGGCGCTATATAAATCCTGTATAATAATAATAATAAATGTAAAGGGGTCTAAAAGGTTAGACATACAGGTATACATACAGTTCAAATGCATAGATTTGAATGAAACCTAACAAAAAAATTATAATTCTGCACAGCCAGTTTTCAAATTCATGCATCTCTGCCTCTGACGCTGTGCAATGGGACATCCATAAAAAGGTCATTTTAAGAGTCCATAACCATTTATTACTGATGGAATTAAATTATCAAAAAGATAAATGACCGCCAATGCATTTTTTGGGCCAAACAATCCTCACTTATCAGGGCTTGAATAAAAAAAATCCTACATGACTGTATCTGAAAGTTAATGGAAAATATTCTTTGTAAAAAAGAAGCAATTTCAGCAAAAAGAATACACCTTGTTCAAGGTTGTGATTGGATAGAACAGTTTCTTATTTCCCTGCACACTTCTCCAATCAGCAAGCTCTATTTATTAGATTGCAGTATAATCTGACTGGTTTATAGATTCGCCGCTTTCTCTTCCAGTTGGAGACTACTGTGTGTAGGAGATTATGTTGAGGAAAGTGGAAAAATAGCACTGGACCCGTAGCATTATCTCACTGGTACTGCAATCTTAAAGTACTGGTGTTGATGTATATGATCTGGTTCTGATTATTATTAATAATATTATTGATATAGAACAAAGTGAGCGCTACTGATAAATTGTCACATAAGCAGCTAAAAGCGCTAAAGATGATCACAACCACCTCTAATAAAGAAAAATGAGTAAAGTGCAGTGCTAAATAACACAATATAAAATTCTATGAAATTCGATCTAAATAGTTCGATCAAAGATAAATGTTCATAAGATCCTGCGATCGATTCATAAATGAGGTGAACACAGCTTGTATCAGATCCGGAAAATGGCAGAAATGCGCACTCACCGACCGCGCATAGGAAATGCGCATATGTGTATCAAATCCCACAGATGTCGTGTCCTCCAGGAAGAGGTGTCGTCAGTCGATCTGCTGGGCTAACAGGGCCTCCTTAGATTTGGATCAGCCAAGGTATATGTTCCTTCCAGGTGCAGGGTTCCCTCCTCTGGATGAGATATGTAGCTGTGTCTTACTAGGGAAACTCAGTGAAGTCTTCTTAGGACACAAGGTATTCACATGTCTCAATCCATCACATATCTGAGCCCAGCCAGGCGGTATGGAGTGTCCGGGGTACCAATGGTCAGGAGCCCCTCTCCAGCCAGATCTGCATTTGAGCTCTATGCAGTTTAATACAAGAACAACCGAACCAGCTCTCTCCAACCAGCTCTCTCCAACCGAGAGAGAGCTGGTTCGGTTTTGTTCTTGTATTAAACTGCATAGAGCTCAAATGCAGATCTGGCTGGAGAGGGGCTCCTGACCATTGGTACCCCGGACACTCCATACCGCCTGGCTGGGCTCAGATATGTGATGGATTGAGACATGTGAATACCTTGTGTCCTAAGAAGACTTCACTGAGTTTCCCTAGTAAGACACAGCTACATATCTCATCCAGAGGAGGGAACCCTGCACCTGGAAGGAACATATACCTTGGCTGATCCAAATCTAAGGAGGCCCTGTTAGCCCAGCAGATCGACTGACGACACCCCTTCCTGGAGGACACGACATCTGTGGGATTTGATACACATATGTGCATTTCCTATGCGCGGTCGGTGAGTGCGCATTTCTGCCATTTTCCGGATCTGATACAAGCTGTGTTCACCTCATTTATGAATCGATCGCAGGATCTTATGAACATTTATCTTTGATCGAACTATTTAGATCGAATTTCATAGAATTTTATATTGTGTTATTTAGCGCTGCACTTTACTCATTTTTCATTAATAATATTATTATTTTTTTAAATATTCATTAAAAATGATATTTTTATTATTAATATTATTTTATTAATATTGTGTTTTTTTTACCCAATTGATGAACAGAAATGGTAAGGTTTAATATTCATGTCCTCCCATGTGTCTTAGGTTCTTGTATAATGATTAATTATTATAATTAATTTTTATACTTCCTATTCAATTGGCTATTGGGTATTTTTAGTTTTAAATATGACCTGAGGAGGAAATATTATATGATATGGAGATATCCCTCTTTTTTCTAGCACTAATGAAGAGGGCACTTGGACCCCCCGATACTTTTTTGGAATTGTCTTGCAGTTTGGTGACTTCAGTTGATTGGGGATTTGCACGGTTTGATTTTACATACATTTATTTGTACAGGCAACACTTTGGATTTGTGTGTATTGCTTGATCTGCATTGTTATGATACATATACAGTATGTAGTGAAGCCTTGTGTTGTGTTAGCCAATGATCACTGAAAGTGTTACTAAACCCAGGACCCTGCATTCACTATATCTGGTCTCCGACAGTACATACAACATGGAAATGCAATTATTTTAGTAAATAAAATCTGCTAAATACCTTTTCTCATCAGCAGTATATAGCAGTCTTGTGACTTCTATCAGTGTCCATCTGAGAACTGGTTATTCTTTTAGGAGGAAATTTTCATTCTGATCTGACTGTCCTATGAGGCTGCATAACCCCTGACCTGCTTTCTGGACAGCGCTGATTGGCCCTGTGCTGATCATTTGCACCGTCACAAAGAAAAAAAAACTCTCTAGCAATGCACACTAAACTGAGCATGTGCAGAGTGACTACTAGTACTTTCGAACGACATTTGCCAAGTCATCAAATGTACTGAGAATTTTCATATGCACAGTATGTTCCTTAGACAAGTTACTAGTGTATGGCCAGGTTTAGATGGTATGCCATGGGTCACTTTAAGTTAAAGTGGTCGTAAAGGCTCAAGTTTTTTTGCCTTCATGCATTCTATACATGAAGGTAAAAAACCTTCTGTGTTCAGCATCCCCCCAGCCCCCCCTAACACTCACCTAAGACTCCTCTTGATCCAGCAATGTGCACTGGAGTCTCAGCGCTCCC